ACTCAGATGCTGGACACCAGTGCATACAAAAGCTCCACATAAAATACGTTTGGTCATTTCCCCAGCATTAACAGAAAGCTGTCTGGAACAGGTAGGTCTCTGAAAGACAAGCAGTCATTCCACGACTGGGGAGCCATGCCTTAGACGGCCCCGATTTCAGCTGGGCTTCTTGAGAGGATAGTGCCCTCAGCAGATATTGGTGGGTGACCTAAGGAGGCGCACAGGTATACACACCAACCAACAGAGTGGTCGAGAGTCATTCTAAAATACTCGTTTCCTAAAACTGTCAATAAGCATGGCACGTTTACAAAACAAATATGGCCGAAAGGTCAGCTACTCGGACAGCAGTCAGGAAGTTAACAGATGATGACGTTATCAAGCACGGCTTTTTTCATCAAAATTGGTTACCGATCTTATTTATGTACATCAAACGCATTATAATTTAGAACGCAGCAGTCAGCCTTTGACGAGTCCACATTCAGCATACAATTCCAGTCTCTTTATCTCAGAAAGGATGTTGTGAGAATTACACAATAATAAAACAATCAAGGGGGTGAAAGGAATTTGGGCCATTTGGCTTGGAAAGAAATCAACAGGAGGAGAGAGAGAAAAAATTATAGAACACTATCGTGAGCGTAGATAGGAAGAAAAGGAACATACTTTCACACTAGATCTCAAGGTCACACAAGTTGGTGTAGGTCAGTGATGGCGAACCTTTTAGAGACCGAGTGCCCAAACTGCGACCCAAAACCCACTTATTTATCGCAAAGTGCCCACACGGCAATTTAACCTGGATACTGAGGTTTTACTTTAGAAAAAACAACTCCTACATTAACTTAAGATGATCCAAACAAAGTAAGGAAAGCAATCCCAAATGCTTTCATTTACTTAAAATTATTTGGCAGAGAATTTGACACTTTAATGATGGTCTGGGCTTGGCTGGGGCGATGGCACGCGTGCCCACAGAGAGGGCTCTGAGTGCCGCCTCTGGCACCCGTGCCATAGGTTCGCCACCACTGGTGTAGGTTTTTGGAACAAAAAGAAACACTTCTTCTCTAAATGCATAAGTGGAATTTCCTGCCAAAAGATACAGCGATGGTATAGGCTTGCAAAGCCCGCGCTGGGGGCGGGTAAATTCCCACCCAGGAGGCCCGTTACCCACCGCTGGCGGATCAGGCCCCGGGGGAAACTCCACCCCCTGCCGGAGGGCGTCCCCAGGTTGATGCATCATCATGCTAGCCACGTTGTGGGGGGGGCACACTGTGAATCGAGAGAAAACTCTATGGTTTTCCCTCGAGTCACGGTGCCCCGCCCCCAATGTGGGTGATGCGATGACGTCACTTCTGGTGACGTCATCGTGGCACGCGCACACAAAGCGCGTGCGCACGGGGAGACTCCCAACGGAGCCCGGAATCCCCCCGCTTTGCAGGTAAGTCGACTTGGCGACCCTACAATGGTTACTGACCAACAGCTGAATCAAGAGATTAACTGCAGCCATCTCAATAGCACAGCTACTGTAATGACTGCACCAGCTACAAAATAGCTTTAAAAAAAAAAAATGTTGTAACCAGTGTTCCCTCTAAGCTGAGTTAGTGTGAGCTAGCCCACAGTTTTTTAACCTCCAGCTCACAGATTTTTGTCCCAGCTCGGGAAGGATGGCTCCAGAGCAAACTAACTGATGCAGCACCCAAATCGCTCGCTCACATCTTCAATGCCAGTAGCTCACGAAGTAGAATTTTTGCTCACAAGACTCCACAGCTTAGAGGGAACACAGGTTGTAACTTAGTTGAAGACTGGAACCAAAACAGAAGGGGGGGGGGCTCTCAATTATAAACCATGCCGAAGAAGAGGCACCCGGAGGCAAGCCAAGGTCACTATAGTCTGCTCTGTCCAGCAGTGGCTATCCAGGGCCTCAGGCGGAGGTCTTTCACATCACCTCCTGCTTGATCTTCTTAACTGGAGACGCTGGGGGTTGAGCCTGGAACCTTCCGCATGCCAAGCAGAGGCTCCACCCCTGAGCCCAACCTTTTCCCACGGTGAAAGAGAAAATAAGTGCCACAGTAAAAGTCCGTTCAAATCTCATTTTACCACAAACTTGCTTGATAATTTTAAGTCCCTATTCTTTCAGTCTGGACCCATTTTTCTAATACTGGCATGCATCACGGGGATGTAGTAAGGAGAACTAAGATAATGTTGCTTTGAGCACTTATGAGCTCCACATAAATACTTATCACGATCAGTGCTCTTCAACCTCTGTGGATGAGAGGCTCAATTAACACCAAGCGGGAAGAATCGCAGGCAGCTCTGCGAGAGAGGCCTAGAAGCGGTGCTTGCATTTTAAAGGTGTATGACACCACTTAAATCAGTAAAACTTAAAACATTCTGAAATGCTGATTTTCCCAGCAATCCTCAAAGCTCACGTTTAGCAGGAAATGACTCGGTATTGAGCAGGAAATTGCAAGGTATTCCGGGACAGGCTGGTGGGGGGGGGCAGTGTTCCCTCTAAGCTGAGTTAGTGTGAGCTAGCCCACAGTTTTTTAGCCTCCAGCTCACACGTTTTTGCCTTAGCTCAGGAAGGATGGCTCCAGAGCAAACTAACTGATGCAGCAGCCAAATCGCTCGCTCACAGCTTTAATGCTGGTAGCTCACAAAATAGAATTTTTTGCTCACAAGACTCCACACCTTAGAGGGAACATTGGGTGGGGGGGGAGGTGTTTGCATTCAACCTTTACAAACATGGAAGAGACTCTACTGTGATATACCCATATTATCATACCCCCTCCCCCCCCCCCCTTAGAAGGGACACTTATTTCCTTTTGTCTGCATTGCACACGCTACAATTTCAACTTACCTGTGTATAAGCCCTCCTTTGGCAGGTTAAAAACGTATGAAGAGCGATGCTGGATCAGACCAAAGGCCCATCAAGGCCAGCATTTTTTGTCCACAGCGAGGCCACCCAGCTAGCTACTGGAAGCCCACAAGCAGGATGGCCGCAACAGCATCGTCCCGCCTGTGCTGCCCAGCAACTGACAGGTTGGGGTACTGAGCCTCTGGTCCTGGGGGGGAGCAGATACCCATCGCGACTGGCGCCCACTGACAGCCCCCATCTTGCCTCAGTTCGTCCACTCCTTTTGCAAAGCCTTCCTGGTTGGCAGCCGTCATATCCTGTGGCAGAAAGGCTCTAGCAGGTGAGGATAATGCAGCCCATAGCCCTGAGCCTCTTGTCTGCCGTTTCCAATGAGCAACACTCCCTTTGCTTTTTTGGTGAGGTTAACGGCTCTTGCCTTGAGTGCAGAGCAGGTACTACAGGTCAGGTTGACATTTTATTTCCAGACTGAGCGCAAGCTCTAAGGGGTGACCATCCGGCAGAAACGGTGCTCCCACAGGAGGCAGTGGCAGCAAGCAGACCCTTTTTTAAAAACACACACAGAGCTGCATTCGAGGAGAAACAGCCCATGCACTAAGGGTCCCGCGACTGAAATCCAAAATTCTTAAACGTTTAATCTTTCTTTAATTCATCACGCTACAAGGTTACTGCCCTTGCTTTCGAACTGCTAGGTTGGCAAGAAAAGTTACACCTTCATTTAACGGGAGGCCAAAGCAAATATGCTTTGGCCTCCCGTTAAATGAAGGTGTAACTTTTCTTGCCAACCTAGCAGTTCGAAAGCAAGAAATTGCAAGTAGATAAACAGGTACCACTTCAGTAGGAAGGGAACAGCGTTCCGTGCGCCTTGGTGTTTAGTCGTGCCGGCCACATGACCACAGAATCGTCTTCGGACAGCGCTGGCTCTTCGGCTTGGAAACGGAGATGAACACCGCAACCCTAGAGTCGGATTCGACTGGCTTTCGAGCAAGGGAACCTTTACCTTTACCTAACTTTTCTTGTCTGAAGCGCCAAATATTGGTCTTATTTTCTTCACTTGTAGCTAGACTATAGATGCTCTCTTCTAATCAGGTGTACGCCAAAAGAAGAGTAACGTTTTATAGAACAACGCACACCACAATAAGCATGTGAGCCACTGAAAATCTCATTTACAAGTAAGGGATTTTATTTCTCTTTCAGCTAAAATGGAAAAAAATTTACTAGTTTAAATAAGCGGCTGGAAACTTCACTGTCCCTTGGATATAAAACCCATTTTCTGGACTTCTACAACAAGATTCACATAAACAGTGACTTCGTAACAAGAACTTTCCAAACAGTCCCATCTGACACACTATGGACTGGACCCAAACTCAGACGGGCACCTGGAGCAGCTGAGAGTCCGGAGATGTGAATAATGTACAGGGAAAAGAGAGAAGTCTTCAGGAAGATGGTGGGATCAGAGAAAAACCATACCCCCACATACACTTGGGTAAGTACAGCATTTCTCAAAAGAGAACAAAAAGGTCTCGTCTGGACAGGGGAGGGGAAGGAAAGGACATGAAGAGGAAACAGTATGTGTTAAAACAGCCATGTGCCATAACTCTTTTTCCGCTCCAGAACCACAGGAGTTGTTTTCAGGGTGATAGAAAAGAATCTTGGTGTTTGTTTACTTGGGGACTTACCAACGTTGGCAAACCAGCCACACAGCTGCTTCTGTTGCAGTGTCAGTGGTCCCAGGTCCACAGCCTTTACACACCCAATCCCACACATTCAAAGTTTGGATGAGCCATAGAATAGGGTATTTTTTTTTTAATATCACAACTCTCACTTCAATATGAACCAAATCAATGGACACAAACTCCATTTGCAGAAATATGCAAGTTTCAGGTGTAGGTCTGGAATTATGGGTCATCCACACATGCACAAGTTATCACTGGATGCTACAGTGAAATGAGGCATCCCCTAATCACCATGTTTTTAAGCCCTTCCATCTTCAACATTTCATCAGTACAGGTACTGTACAAAACTCCAAGGAACCACACAAAATGCAAAAAAACTCTTTCAAGGCCTTTACTATGCAAGGTAACCCAACAAGATCATGAATTAAGCTGCAGTTGATGCCCAAACATTGTGGGGGGTGGTGGTGGTGCTATTACATATAAAAGTGAGAAATCTAAGAAAGTTTGCCATGTGTATTTTGGCTTGTTCTTTTTATACAAAAAAAAATAATCACAGAAACAATTTCTACTATTCCAGCAGCCCTTCAGTGTAATGAAAAGCACAAGCCTTTTAATTTTCTTGCAAAAGATAACATTTATTCTGCTTCATTTTTTTAGGTGTGTTGCACCAAAAACAACAGACGCACAGCTGCTTTGCCTGTCACACAGGGCAGGATATGTTGAAAAGTTTGAACAGCACATTAGAAAAAACAGCAGAACTGACAAACAGCACATGAAGCCAGCTGCTGAAACCAAGAGTCTTGAAGCCATTCAGGTTTCCTGACCAGCCACCGCAGGAATCAGCCTACTTTCTGGCCACGGAACAAAGTGCCAGCATAACATCGCCCAGCAGGAAAGTTGGATTTCTTCATTCCTCTGAGCTAGTCAATATTGTCCGATAGCCTATCTGTAGTTCCCAGAGAAGAACGTGCAGTAATGGAAATGGTTAATGCTCAAGGAGAAGGATCTTCACCTCGAATAGCTTTGTATTTGGACATGTCCTCCGGGAACACTTTTGTCAGCTCTTGAATCAACAAGCTTTTGAATTTCTAGAAGAAAAAGAGAATTGCACATGTGAGAGCAGGTCTTTTTTTGAGACATGGTAATAAGGGGCACACCCAGCATTTGTGTATTTACACAGACACTGGGGTGGGGTGGGGGGATACATCTGGAAACAGTCCAAAATTGATCACTACACAGAACTGCCTTATACTAAATCAGACCATTGGTCCTTCAAGGTCAGTACTGTGTCTACTCAGACTGGCAGAGAGCCAGTTTGGTGTAGTGGTTAAGTGTGTGGACTCTAATCTGGGAGAACCGGGTTTGATTCCCCACTCCTCCACTTGCACCTGCTGATGTGACCTTGGGTCAGTCGCAAGCTCTGGCACAGCTGTCCTTGAAAAAGAGCAGTTTGTGTCAGAGTTCTCTCAGCCCCACCCACCTCACAGGGTGTCTGTTGTGGGGAGGGGAAGGGAAAGGAGTTTGTAAGCCGCTCTGAGACACCTTTGGGTAGTGAAGGGCGGGGTATAAATCCAATCTCTTCTTCTTCTTCTTCTTTAATCTCCAGCAGAGCTCTGTCACATCACCTATTGCCTGAACAGGGACTGCACCTTCTGCATGCACGCCATGGCAAGCAGATGCTCTATCACCAAACCATGCACAGGTGGAGTGAGCATTTTTAGAGGTATAAAAATGTGACCAGTAAACACCTCCAAGATGCAAACACAAGACAGTTAATGGCTGGCACGATCACCAAAGTAAATCCACCGCCAAACTGATGGCCTCATACTAAGAGTGCAAACCTATCAGGTCAATCTTAACAGTCAAACCTTTCACCAGACTGCAGGACAGTGATCGACACAACATTTTACTCTGATCTAGCTGTTCTCCTAGGGTTTACTCCAACAAGACGGGACATCATCTGAGTATATTACCGACCAAAAGCTAGGGTTTTTTCCCACAAGCATGGTTTAAGAACTACCACTTTGAATGTTTGACATGCTCAGATTAGAAAAGGCAATCATAAGAGTTGTGTGCAATGCCAACATCACGTCAATGCTATTGTGGGCATCCTGGCACAATGAATTACTTATCTGCAGGATAAACAAATCATGGGATGCAGAACTGGGACGTAACAAATTGTGGCCCCGGTCAGACGGGCCGGATATCGCGGGGGGGGGAGGCGTGGCTGTTTGCCCGGAGCAAACTACCACGCGGCAGCCAGATCAAACATTCCGCCCGACATCGCGCCGACGTCCCGTGGTTGGGGGGAGGTGCCAATCACACCTCACTCCTGCGGCGCAGCAAAGAAGCGCCGCCGCGGGGGTTGTGTTGTTTTTTTAACCCAAGTGTTTGCATGCGCCGTTGGGTGCTTGTGCACACCCATGGAGACTTGACAAAAAAAAAACTTTTCGCGACAGGACATGGGCGGGCGCCGGATGCTACGAGCTAACACCGGAAACGTGATCTGACGCCCACCCTTGCCCCGTGGTTTCCGGAAGCGAGTACCTCGGAGGTACTAGTTTTTTACAACTAGTGAAGCCTCAGAGTGAAGCCTCGGGTGAGCCACGGGAGCTCTACGCTTCCCAGATGTGGCGGTGAGATTGCGCCCGAAAAATCCGCCTATCTTCCGTCTCTCTAGCGTGCCTAATGCTCCGTGTGACCGGGGCCTGTGACCAGTAAACTTCTGAGAATTCAAAGGGTTTTTTTTAGATTTTGTCTCAGAATTTCAGACTTCAACCATAAATCAAGAAGACTTCCTTTATGCACAAACAGAACCATATAAAATAATAACACGAAGTCATTATTAACTAACAGTATCAATATTATGCAGAATGTCCACCTTACCTTCATGGTATCAATTTTGCCTTTCACCTGCTCATTTTTAGCCAAAGCCCTTTCCAAACATTCTTTAGTATATAGTTGGGGGTTGCGGCCTTGATCTATGTACCTAGAGAAATAAAACCAAATTTGTAAGTATGATTATCCTTTCTTAGCAGTCTAAGTTGTTGTAATACAGGTGTTTGGACCATCTATCTATATCGCTTTCTGGAACATGTACATGAACACAAGGAATGGTTTAGACCGGGAAGATTAAGAACATTATGGTAGTATTTTCTTATATTGGCCTGATCATCCAGTATACGTGCAAGCTACCTGAAATTAAGATAACCAGCACAGCGTGAGCACCAAACTCCCTGGGCCTCCAGAAAGGTACTGTTTTTCAGTGAAAAATATATATAGCTAAAAGTGAAAATTTCATAGAGAAACAAAAAATAAAAAATGATACCACTTCCAGAAGTCTATCTGTGGTCAAGAGAACTAGGGAAAGGAGTTATAACTGAGAAGTTGTTGGCAGAAAGCCCAGTGTCAACAATCTTCACACAATATGTTGCCTTTTGGGACTGGAAATACACACAGGCCTGCAGTCATGCTCAGACCCCCCGTTTTAAAGAGATGAGGCTTTCTGTGCTTCCATGAACACTCCCAACTTCGTTATTGGCTAGAACAATGCCATATACTTACTCAAAGACTTCCAGAGGCACACTGATATCATGAAGTTGCTGTCGGCACTTGTCAATATCTTGCAAGCCAGTAACCATAAAATTCCTAGGCAAAAGCAGACACCTGTTAGTACCACCAGAGTCACGAGATGCCACAACTTAGAGCAGTGTTCCCTCTAAGCTGAGTTAAGTGTGAGCTAGGTCACAGATTTTTAGCCTCCGGCTCACACGTTTTCGTCTTGGCTCGGGAAGAAGGGCTCCAGAGCAAACTGAGTTTATGCAGGAGCCAAATCCCTCACTGACCACTTTGATGCCAGGAGCTCATAAAGTAGACTTTCTGCGCACAAGACCTCACAGCTTAGGGGGAGCCCTGGTCACCAGGTCAGTCTGTCTGCAGCAGCAGAAAACAGCAGGCGTCCAGGAGCACCTGAAAGACTGAGAAACCTCGTGACCTGGGACTGAGAGAAAGCTCCTCCCCCTTTCACTAATTTTGCTGGCCTTTTGAGCGGTGGCTCAAGTGGTTAAGAGACTGAACTGCAGGCTGTGGAAGGTCAGTAGTTCAGCAGCTTGAGACCCGAGTGTGCCGCATGATGGAGTGAGCTCCCATCTCTGGTTCCAGCTCCTGCCAACCTAGCAGTTCGAAAGCAAGTAATTGCAAGTAGATAAACAGGTACCACTTCGGTGGGAAGGGAACAGCGTTCCGTGCGCCTTGGTGTTCACTCATGCCGGCCACATGACCACGGAAACGTCTTCGGACAGCGCTGGCTCTTCGGCTTGGAAACAGAGATGAGCACCGCAACCCTAGAGTCGGACTCGACTGGCTTTCGAGCAAGGGAAACCTTTACCTTTTCCTAAATAGGTACCACTTCGGTGGGAAGGGAACAGCGTTCCGTGCGCCTTGGTGTTCACTCATGCCGGCCACATGACCACGGAAACGTCTTCGGACAGCGCTGGCTCTTCGGCTTGGAAACAGAGATGAGCACCGCAACCCTAGAGTCGGACTCGACTGGCTTTCGAGCAAGGGAGACCTTTACCTTTACCTAAATAGGTACCACTTCGGTGGGAAGGGAACATCATCCGTGTGCCTTGGTGTTCAGTCATGCCGGCCACATAACCATGGAAATGTCTTCGGACAGCGCTGGCTCTTTGGCTTTGAAACGGAGATGAGCACCGCAACCCTAGAGTCGGACTCGACTGGCTTTCGAGCAAGGGAAACCTTTACCTTTACCTAAATAGGTACCACTTTGGTGGGGAGGGAACATCGTTCTGTGCGCCTTGGTGTTTAGTCATGCCGGCCACGTGACCACGGAAACGTCTTCGGACAGCGCTGGCTCTTCGGCTTGGAAAACCGCAACCTTAGAGTCGGACTCGACTGGCTTTCGAGCAAGGGAAACCTTTACCTTTTCCTAAATAGGTACCACTTCGGTGGGGAGGGAACAACGTTCCGTGCGCCTTGGTGTTTAGTCATGCCGGCCACATGACCACGGAAACGTCTTCAGACAGCGCTGGCTCTTCGGCTTGGAAACGGAGATGAGCACCGCAACCCTAGAGTCAGTCGGACTCCACTGGCTTTCGAGCAAAGGGAAACCTTTACCTTTAGGGTGCTCCTGGGCTCTTGCTCTTTCCTGCAGCCGGGCATAACGGCTAGACTCAAGGAGACCTGGGTTCAAATCCACCCGGGAGACCTGGATTCGAATCCACACACACACACACACCCCAGGCCAGTCGCGTCCTCTCAGCCTGGCCCCCCCACACACACACACACCGAGCCAACTCTCCGCTGCCCCCCCCCCAAACTACGGGGATGGGGGCGGAGGGGCGCCGCTCACAGCTTCTGGTTGAGGCCGGCCTGGCTGCTCGGCTGGAAGTCGCTGACGATGATGCCCAGCTGCCGGATGTTCTCCACGAACTTCTCCAGGTGCTCCTCCAGGGAGTCGAACTTCTCCGCCATCGCCGCCTCCGGGCCGCAGCCCGCCCCCGACCAGCCGGCCCCGTTGCTAGGGGCGCCGCCGCTACGGACCCCACTTCCGGACCCCACTTCCGGCGTCCGCCCTTCCCTTTGAGCCCGCCCCCAGAGACACAACGGCCCAATGATGGCCGGCCACGCCTTTCCTTCAGGCTCCGCCCCGACGTGAATTTTAAAAGGACCCGGGGAGGGAGAGGATCTCACGCGTGCGCAGATTTGTATCGGGGAGGGAGAGGATCTCACGCGTGCGCAGATTTGTATCTCCGTTTCGCAGTCGGGCTGAAGGGCGCGGCTGCATTTTTGCCCCGCCCTGTGCTGCCGCTCCGCGTCTCTAATTGGACGCGGAGCGGGTTCGGCTCCTGACACCAAAAGGAGCTTTCGTTGGGCGCATGCGCTGTTCTCAGGCTTGGGTTGCGTTATTTTTTCCGTATGTTGTGTTGTTGTTAGTACTATTATTGTTATTGTTATTTTTGTATACATAAATGTTTTATTTCTGATGTTAATGTAGACCTGCATTGTATGCAAAATACTTTTTAATGAAACAAACTCTGCAGTACAACAACAAACACAACACAACTTCATTAAGATTCACCTTATCATTAAAGACAAAACTTTAAAACAACCGTAAGAATTAACAGATGCTGTCAGTTTCCAACATGCATGTTTGGCTGCTGCAGGTATATTCTACTTATAAACGTTTTTAAAAGTTCAATGCTCCTAAGACAGAAAAGGCATTTGTATAAATAAAAAGGAGATGCCTAACATGTCAAAGGTTTTAAACCTTTTCTTCTGCTAAAGCAACACTAAAGCACTTAACTGGAAGGTTCAACTATAGTACTATGGTACCAGAGACCAATGCTCCCTCTAAGCTGTGGAGTCCTGTGAGCAAAAATTCTACTTTCTGAGCTACTGGCCATTAAAGTTGTGAGCAGGTGATTTGGATACTGCATAAATTAGTTTGCTCTGGAGCCCTCCTTCCTGAGCTAAGACAAAAATGTATGAGTCAGAGGTTAAAAAACTGTGAGCTAGCTCACACTCACTCAGCTTAGAGGGAACACTGCCAGAGACCTCTGTTAAATGCTGGTAATGGTGGCTTTGGTACCACTTTTTAATTATAGAATAATTTACATACCTCCTGCAAAGCAGCAGGGAGTTCCAAAGAGCTTCAGGCAAAGTTTACTGGCATTGCAGAGCTTGAGTTTCCCCACCCCAGTACTACTGTTACTTTTCAAATCCCCTCCTCTAAGAGCCACTCCAGGAAATTAGTGGACACTCCAAAATAGGTGCTCATGTAGCACTGGGGATTGCAGCCAAAATACACAAACTAGGGTACACACACAAAGGGGAATCTTTGGATCCTAGCATACTGGCTGCAATCCAGACAGCTGGGTTAGGGGCAGGTTAAGTGCTCGTATACACCCAGCAGGAGATGTCACTCACCCACGAGATTACACAAGCCTGCCACTATGTGTCGGAAGTGGCTTGCTACGTGGCTTGTGACTGTGTTGCAATTAAAAAAAAAAAAACTATGGTGGACATATCTTTAGATGAGTAATCTCCTGGACTGTGGCTTTACTATGCCTGCCCCATTCACTTAACTCCTCCGTGCTTCAGATTATTAATTTGGGGGGTTATGCTTTTTTTGTAGTGGAAGTTTAAAGAAAATATTTACATTTAAAAATAAAGTGGTTGCATATGTTTGAAGTATTTCTTTAATTTAGGGTTACCATATTTCGTGAACCCAAAAAGAGGTCGTATTCCTGACTGACTACTTCAAACAAGTGGCACCAGTGTTCCCTCTAAGCTGAGTCAGTGTGAGCAGCCTCACCGTTTTTTAGCCTCCGGCTCACAGGTTTTTTGTCTTAGCTCACGAAGGAGGGCTCCAGAGCAAACTAATGCAGTATGCAGTAGACCGATCACTCGCTCACAACTTTAATGCCAAAGGTTCACAGAGTAGAATTTTTCCTCACAAGACTCCACACGTTAGAGGGAGCATTGGGGATCGCTATGACAAATCTCATTTTAAATACCCCTACGATTTAAGCCTTGAGAATTGCTACTGGGAATATCCCTGATAAATAGCCCTGTTGGTCAGAAGCCGCAGAGCAGAGATTGAGTCCAGTGGCACCTTTAGGACCCACAAAGTTTTATCCCTTGAATAAAACGTTGGCTGCGGTCACACACACGAAATAATCCACTTTCAATCCACTTTTGAATTGGATTTGGCAGTTCACACAGTAAAAATCCAGTTGGACAGTGCATTGAAAGGGGATTATTTCGTGTGTGTGACCGCAGCCTTTGTTGGTCTTAAAAATACCACTGGACAAACATTGTTCTAGGAATATTCCTAACCTTCAAACCTCAAAAGAGGACAGTTTCATCAGTTTTTCAAAAAACGGCCCAAAAGAGGATAGACACCCAAAAAAGAGGACATGTCCGCTAAAAAGAGGATGTCTGGTAACCCTATGTAATTCTTTTAAAAAATTAATGATGAGGCTGTATTTTCAATACAACTAAAATGATGAGACCAGCATGTGATATTAGCAGTGATTATGCCTTGGGGGGGGGGGTGTTTGAGAGCGCATGGTGTTAATAATAGTAGTAATTTGTGTTAATAATCTTGACATCAATGATATGAATGATGGTTTTAATTATGATCAGCATTGGAAAATGGACTCCCTTAGCCTTCAATAAAATATAAAACAACTTTGTGTTTCTTGATGCGTCAAGGCTACACAGCTCCTTGGGGAACTAACACTCCATGAACAAATAAAATGCATCTTCTCAGCTGACGCTGCCAGGAGGGTCAATCTTTTCCCCCTCCTTTTATTGTCACAGTGGGTTCCCTCGCCCATTAAGAGGCGGTCAGCGTTGCATCCCAGTGGGTTGCTTCTCTGTGTCTTCCTCGCACGGACCTGGTTTCTTTCATGCACTGGTTTGTGGCAATTTATTTGTTCTCAAAAGCAGTGATGACACTAGCACAACTGATGTGGACTATTGCAGCGCTGTAGTTGTTGCATTTGTTGACGATAGTAGTGGAGTTAGCTGATTCCATCTAGCTGTGAAATGCATTTTTTGCCTGGGAGTTTTGAGAGGAGCAAAAACCTCCACTGTGTATTTTAACAGGGTTTTTATTTATTTTTTTCCTGGGCAGAGGAGACCAGGCTGGTAAGAAGGAAGTGGGTCAATGGCTTTCCGACATATCCTCAGCTACCTCTTAAGAAAAGCTAAATAGGTCTAGCCCCCCCCCCCATCCTTCAAGCAGCGAGCAGAGAGTTTTGAAGGAATGAAATGCTAGAAGGTCTCCAGGAAATAGATTCCTGGAGATTTCCCGGAAATGCCTCTTCGATCTGGTGTGACTTAGTCAGTGGGTGGGGGGAAAGGTATGATAAAATCTCCTTGCAACAAGAAAGAATGGCCCCCCCTCCGAGTTTTTAAAGTGTTCCTGCGTTTTTTCCCCCTCTTCTCCTGGAAGGGCAGGAAGCTAGGTTAATGACCAGCCATAGGCCCCGGTCACCAGTGTTCCGTCTAAGCTGAGTTAGCGTGAGCTAGCTCACAGTTTTTTAGCCTCCGGCTCATACATTTTTGTCTTAGCTCAGGAAGGATGGCTCCAGAGTAAACTAATTTATGCAGTAGCCAAATTGCTCGCTCACAGCTTTAATGCCAGTAGCTCACAAAGTAGAATTTTTGTTCACAAGACTCCACAGCTTAGAGGGAACATTGCCGGTCACACGGCAAAGTTGCCGCGGGAGAGGCACGGGAGTCCCACGGATTTTCCGGGTGCGATCTCACCCCAACATCTGGGAAGCGCAGTGCTCCTGTGGCGAACCCGTGGCTCCCCGCCGAAGGTGCGTACAATGCGCGTTAAAAAACTAGTACCTCCAAGGTACTAGTAAACGTTTGCCATGGGCTGCCTCCAGACACCAGTGGTGTGATCGCACCGGCGCGCAGCATTCCCCTCCGGTCCCTTGTTTACTCGCCAGCACCGAGGGAAGGACCCGTGGTGTGCCACCGGCACATCTAATCGCGTAATCGCGGATCAAACCGCGTAATCGCGGATCAAACTGCAATTAGCCACGCCTTCCCCCACGATATCCGGCTCGTGTGACCGGGGCCTCAGTTATGCAAATGACTCAGCTAGCAAAGTTAATTGAGAGATTTGGTGTTAGGAATCTCCAGGGGACTCCTGGAGATTTCCCAGAATGCCTTTCAGGACTCCCAGGATGCACCTGTGTGGCCCAGGATGCACCTGTGTGGCCCAGGATGCACCTGGATGTCCCAGGGTCCACCTGTGTGACCTGGGAGGACCAGGTCAAAAGGGGTGGCGAAAGTGATGTAAAAATGGGTGGAGTCAAAGGCTTAATAAAATTGCTTGCTCCCAGGAGGGAGGGTCTCTTGGTGCTGGTCATTGGAAGAGGACAGACTGCTGAGCTCTGTTCTGCAGGCCAGGAGCCATCCTGGCCATGTGGCCTGGCCCGCTGGCTGCAGGGAGCCCGAGGTAATGGGACATCTTCAGAACCTTGTGTAACTATCTAAGTTTGTACGTACCCCCTCTGATTGTGACATCTAGTTAGAGTAAGTTTTAGAACCAGGGAAAGCAGGATGGCTTTATAACCAACTTTTCTCTGTTCTTCCGTGTGCTGACCTGTTGTTGTGATTCAGTGTGCGTGGACTTACTTTGTTTTTAATAAATCCTTTTTAATACTGGATGTGGCCCTAAGTTTCTGTACCACATAGCCCTCCAATCACTTGGATACACTATTAATTTCCCAGATTGGGAGGGAAGCAGTCAGGGAACCTGTTGCCCACCCTCCAGAGGAAAACCAAAGTTGCATTTGGTCTCTGTGGTAACCAGGCGCTGGGTAGCAAGAGACCTTGAGGCCAGGCCTCAAACCTGGGGAGGGGGATTGAGAGTCCTGTTCCTCTCATTCAGCTCCGCTAAACTGAGCAGGAAGTGGAATAGCACTCTCCAGGAATCCGAGGGGGCAGGCAGAACAGCCTCTGTAAATCGGAGCAGGCCTGTTCTGTCACAAGCTGTCTTTCCTTTGGGTGCTGGACCAATGAGCACACACAGCCCCCT